ACATTTTTTAAAATAAAGGTTCTTTATTGGAACTATGAAGAACCTTTAACATCCATGGAAGCTTTCCATTGTACAAAAGGTTCTTTACTGGCATCTAAGGTTCCCTGAAGAACCTTTAACATCCATGGAAACTTTCCATTGCTTAAAAGGTTCTTTATTGGCATGGTTAGTTCTGTGAAGAACATTTAACATTCATAGAACCTTTCTATTGCATAAAAGGTTCTTTATAGTGGAAAAATGTTCTTCACACTTAGGAAAATGGTTATTTTAAGATCTGTTCACTCTTTGTTCACCACATTTCCTTCACCCAGCTTGAGATCTTCCATATGATTGGACTGAGTAAAGTGGGGGAGATCAGAACCAAAAGAACGTGATAGTGGTCCATACAGCGACCTCCCCCCTCCCCTCCCCAGACATTCCTTTGCCCATGCACCATCCCCAGGCTGGAGCACTAGATTGGACACTGTCCTCTGGGAATACTGTGAGAAGTGAAGCCTGGTTTGTGCACTGCAAGGGAGAACAAATTTGGAAAGGGGGTGTGCAAGAAACACTTGCATTCTAGAAGCAGCTTTGATGTTTTTATATTTAATAATCATCAAGCAGAATGCATGGCTATTTAGAGCCAAGGTCTAACTTTAGGCCAACCATGTCACATATGAAACCAGACAGAACTTTTTTTTGTTTTGAATGTGTGTCTTGAGCGGGTCGAGGCTCTGGGAGAATGATGACCTGTCGTCCCGAAGGGAATAAAAGGCATTTCCCATTTTACCATGAAAAACAATGTTTGATCAAAGAATGGATATGAGATGTTGTAAGTGGAAATGTTGTGGGTCTTGGCTTGTCATCGGGGGAAATGTGTTCAGGCAAAAAAAATACAATTTGTCACGTACTTTGGGTTATTCTGGATGCCCCATTCAAGGAATAGTTCACCCAGAAGTGAAAATTCTGTCGTCATTTACTCATCCTCATGACGTTCAAAACTCGTATGACATTCTTTCTTCAGGTTGTGGAACACAAAATATTAATTTCTGAAGAATCAACTTGTCATTTTTTCCATGCAGTTAGAATTAATGGGGGGGTTAGCTTAAGTTTAAAAAAAGATGCAAAATCATAAAAGGTATTATAAAATTAGTTCTTAAGGATCACTGAAGCAGTAAGTATTAATGAATAAATGAACTGAAACAAACTATTTATTGAAAAGATCTGATTCGTTCACAAAGGGGCAACAATAATGACTTGACAAGACTTAAAGATCTCAGACACGTATGTAGGCTATTACTTTTATGACACTTGAGTCCACATTAGTAAGAATTACATTTTTTTTAAAAGGCCTGCAAAATTCAGAAAGAAAATCAAAACAACATGATGTGAAGTAACTAATGATGAAATTAAATGTTTTATGATCAGTGCCATAATGAACAATGGTGATTAGTCATAACCCTTTCATATTAACAGAAAAGTTGTCCAAATCAACTAATTTCAATTTCATTTAACCGTCAAAATGCAGTCTACTGCATGTATATTTCAATGTATGGCCAACCCTGGTATTTTCGCGCTCTTTCACCCTCTCGTGCTTAAATGCCTTGTACGCTCAAGTCAGGTGCTCAAGACTTGTACGAGGTTAGGTCATCCTGCGTGACTTAACCCAGTAATTTCCCTCAGTTCGTGGGATGCCAGTCTAATGACATGACACCCGTAGAAACAACACAAACATCAGAGGACGCTCGAGCACGTGCGCGCTTCATCATCACGGTCTGAACGAACAAACTCAAATTCAGAACCATCCAAACACAGACGACGGAACGTTCACTCGCTGCCTGTAAAAAACTGCAGTGTTGTTGAGTTCCCGCCCAGAATGTGAGCGAATGTTGAGGACAGGAGAGTTTAGTGTTTAGGATCAGAACTCGCAGGTGAATTCTTTTCATAAAAAATCTGACAGCAGTTAAGTCCAAAAACTTGGATGTAGATGAAAAGCCGGATGCAAACTGTTTCTATTTGGAAAAAGTGCTTCAAGGATAAACAATTCCACACGTCTGCTCATTGAGACGGTTTTCCATCTCCTAAAACTTTTAAAGGTTTATTTATTAACCATGAAAAATAGAAATAACTGGTAAGTCTCTTTTATCTCCTATAATCTTATAAAGAAAAGCTGTTTTAGTGTAATTCTAATTTACACATACAGAACTTTACTGATTTCTTATTTCGTTACCTGTACAAAATGTTACCATGGTAATAATTTTCCGACAAGTCACTGTAAAACCTTTTTTTATTTTTTATTTCTTTTTGATAATTTAATTTATTTTTGATACGACAGTAGGGACTAACGCCAAGCCACCGAACGACTTAAAACTATGGCATAACTGGTTACCATGTATATTTTTGTATTTTCGTAAATTAGTCTGCTTTAATTCAGGCTATAGCGTTGCAGTCAGAGTGCGTTGATTAATATAGCCTACTTCTGATAACATCAAAGAAACAACAACCGATGACACCAAATGTTATTTTTAATAGCCTAATAGTCTCATTATAATTACAAGTGGAAGTCATAACACTTTGTAGTATTATGTCTGATTTTTGTTGTGTCATGCCAGGTGTAAACTTCTGTGGTGATAAAGTTTAAATAAATTAATCTAGTAAATAAGAAGACAGATAATTAGGCTATTGCAAAATAGTCACTGATAATTATAGATAGATAGATAGATGATATTTTATTATTTTAAATATGACAATGCATTGCAGTATTGGCACAAAAACCTATTACCTGTCCTGAACATTTCTACACCTTCACAGGCTAAACCCATATCCATGTCTCCTTAAGATTCAGAACTGTTTGTGTGATACAATCCACCATATCTTTGCTATAAAAAAAAATCTTAAATTAGCAAATATTAATTTCTGAAGAATGAACTTGTCATTTTTTCCATGCAGTTAGAATTAATGGGGGGGTTAGCTTAAGTTTCAAAAAAGATGCAAAATCATAAAAGGTATTATAAAATTAGTTCTTAAGGATCACTGAAGCAGTAAGTATTAATGAATAAATGAACTGAAACAAACTATTTATTGAAAAGATCTGATTCGTTCACAAAGGGGCAACAATAATGACTTGACAAGACTTAAAGATCTCAGACACGTATGTAGGCTATTACTTTTATGACACTTGAGTCCACATTAGTAAGAATTACATTTTTTTTAAAAGGCCTGCAAAATTCAGAAAGAAAATCAAAACAACATGATGTGAAGTAACTAATGATGAAATTAAATGTTTTATGATCAGTGCCATAATGAACAATGGTGATTAGTCATAACCCTTTCATATTAACAGAAAAGTTGTCCAAATCAACTAATTTCAATTTCATTTAACCGTCAAAATGCAGTCTACTGCATGTATATTTCAATGTATGGCCAACCCTGGTATTTTCGCGCTCTTTCACCCTCTCGTGCTTAAATGCCTTGTACGCTCAAGTCAGGTGCTCAAGACTTGTACGAGGTTAGGTCATCCTGCGTGACTTAACCCAGTAATTTCCCTCAGTTCGTGGGATGCCAGTCTAATGACATGACACCCGTAGAAACAACACAAACATCAGAGGACGCTCGAGCACGTGCGCGCTTCATCATCACGGTCTGAACGAACAAACTCAAATTCAGAACCATCCAAACACAGACGACGGAACGTTCACTCGCTGCCTGTAAAAAACTGCAGTGTTGTTGAGTTCCCGCCCAGAATGTGAGCGAATGTTGAGGACAGGAGAGTTTAGTGTTTAGGATCAGAACTCGCAGGTGAATTCTTTTCATAAAAAATCTGACAGCAGTTAAGTCCAAAAACTTGGATGTAGATGAAAAGCCGGATGCAAACTGTTTCTATTTGGAAAAAGTGCTTCAAGGATAAACAATTCCACACGTCTGCTCATTGAGACGGTTTTCCATCTCCTAAAACTTTTAAAGGTTTATTTATTAACCATGAAAAATAGAAATAACTGGTAAGTCTCTTTTATCTCCTATAATCTTATAAAGAAAAGCTGTTTTAGTGTAATTCTAATTTACACATACAGAACTTTACTGATTTCTTATTTCGTTACCTGTACAAAATGTTACCATGGTAATAATTTTCCGACAAGTCACTGTAAAACCTTTTTTTATTTTTTATTTCTTTTTGATAATTTAATTTATTTTTGATACGACAGTAGGGACTAACGCCAAGCCACCGAACGACTTAAAACTATGGCATAACTGGTTACCATGTATATTTTTGTATTTTCGTAAATTAGTCTGCTTTAATTCAGGCTATAGCGTTGCAGTCAGAGTGCGTTGATTAATATAGCCTACTTCTGATAACATCAAAGAAACAACAACCGATGACACCAAATGTTATTTTTAATAGCCTAATAGTCTCATTATAATTACAAGTGGAAGTCATAACACTTTGTAGTATTATGTCTGATTTTTGTTGTGTCATGCCAGGTGTAAACTTCTGTGGTGATAAAGTTTAAATAAATTAATCTAGTAAATAAGAAGACAGATAATTAGGCTATTGCAAAATAGTCACTGATAATTATAGATAGATAGATAGATGATATTTTATTATTTTAAATATGACAATGCATTGCAGTATTGGCACAAAAACCTATTACCTGTCCTGAACATTTCTACACCTTCACAGGCTAAACCCATATCCATGTCTCCTTAAGATTCAGAACTGTTTGTGTGATACAATCCACCATATCTTTGCTATAAAAAAAAATCTTAAATTAGCCTAAACTGGTTTGCCATTCTCCCAAACTGGTCTTTCTGCTGGTTTCATGCTGCTTAGACCATTTTAAAACTACCTAAGACAAGATTAAACTGGCCGAAACAATGTTACCATCTTAGGCTGGTTTAAAAACATTTTGAGCATGCATGTTAAACTGAATTTCCACTTCTTACTAACTGCTGTCAAGTCAGATGATATTTTCTTTGATCTGTTTTTGTTTCTATTTGTTATCAGATCCAACAAGAATCATAATGTGTGAAGTGGTGGATTCCTTTTCCATCCTTTTCACTGGAAGGTGCTCATAGACGCCATCTGCTGTTCAAAAACAGAGAGCGTGGGGAAAATGGATGAGGAGCTCGAATCTGGAATGAATGATATTATAGTTAGCCATTATAACCACTCGGGCAAGTGGGGAAGACCAAAAAGCACCGGTACATGCAAGACAGCCTTCCTCATTTTTATCTGCGCTCTGATCGTGTTGGAGAACATCACTGTACTACTGGCACTATGGCGCAACAAGCGTTTCCACAGCCGCATGTACTTTCTCATTGGCAATCTGGCACTTTCGGACTTGTTAGCTGGAGTGGCGTACATGGTTAACATCTTCACCTCTGGCCGCAATACTTTTTTCCTCAGTCCTGGCCAGTGGCTGCTGCGAGAGGGGAGCATGTTTGTGGCACTTAGCGCTTCGACCTTCAGCTTGCTCGCCATTGGGATCGAGCGCCACATGACGATGGTTCGTTTACGGCCGTGTGAGACTGCAGGAAGGGGGAGGTTGCTAGCTCTCCTGGGAGCATGCTGGGCAGTTTCGGTCCTGCTGAGTGCCTTGCCCAGTCTCGGCTGGAACTGTTTGAGCCGAGTCCACACCTGCTCCACTGTCCTACCACTGTACGACAAAAGTTACATAGCCTTCTGCATTAGCATCTTCACAGCCCTACTAGCAGCAATCGTAGTGCTATACGTGCGCATCTACCTGCTTGTGACGTCCAGCGGGCGTAGAGTGAGTTCCCGGCCATCGGATCGCTCACTCGCACTTTTGCGCACGGTAGTAATAGTACTGGGAATTTTTGTGGCCTGTTGGGCTCCCCTTTTTCTGCTACTGCTGCTGGATGTGGGATGCAGTCCGGAGCGGTGCCCGGTTCTCTTCGAGGTGGACTGGTTCATCGCTCTGGCCGTGCTCAACTCTGCCCTCAACCCGCTCATCTACACGCTTTCCAGCCGTGAAATGCGGGCCGCCTTCTTCCGTGTGCTGTGCTGCTGTTGCTGTCCAACGCAGCTGGACTCCATGCCCACGGTGACAGGGGCGGCACTCCCGAGAATAGTCATTCCCACCGCAGAGAACAGCAAATCGAGCATGGCCGGGGCGGGAAGTGGTGCAGCCAAGTCCTCCCTGATGCGAAGTAAAGATCCCACCCCGTCAAACTCCCACCATCAGCATGGGGACACATCGGCACCAGCTGTCACACACCCCTCGGGGCCAGGTGACCTACTGTCTGCGGTGCTGGTTAAAGCTGGGGCACTTCCTTCTTTGGGGAAGTTTTGAAAATGATACTACGGGGGTCAGCACAAAAGAGTGGGATGTTGTTATTTCCCAAGATGTTTGGCGACGGTTCCTTGCAATTATACACTGTTCTTCAGCTCTCTGAGGATTACAAAACCTGGATTTGCTTTCATACATAAGGCATCCATTGATGATGAGATTTCAAAGGGACAACAAACTCAATCAAAGTGCGACTGAACAAATGCTGACCAAAGGATACACAAACTGAATTTACTTCTACATGTATTAATATTTATGAAACTGAGCATGTGCTATGAGCACATAACATAGAGCCACTACAGAATGTAATCACTTGAAAAGCTTAGGTGTGCAATCTTTTTTTATCGAGATAATCCAATTTGCAATTTGCATGAAGGAAAACACCTTAACAGTATTAAATGCAATATAACAGTACTCTTTGTATGACTGACCTTTAACATTTTTCCAGTTTATTATTAGACAAAAACATTTGGAATAGTTTGCTATTCTTACCTATTACGCATACTAGATGTAATAATACTTTACAAATTGAATGTTTTAAAGAAGACTGTGGATGTTTATGGTTAATATTCTGTGGAACGGTTTACATGGCAGAATGTAAGATGAGGTGATTGTGAATGTGAAATTTAGATTGTTTTGCTCAATAGTACTTACTAACTGACATAAAATTTAAAGAGTGATAATATGTTAGTGTGAAGAAAAACGGGCATCTTATGTTAAGATTGCCTTATCTGTTCTGCTTTTATTTGCATGTATATACACTAGAGGGAGCTGTGACATCACATTGAAATGGACTGCATAAACAGCGCAATAATGAAAGCAATGCACAGACATTTTGTCTATGAATGGGGACCAAGCTCTATAATTTAGTCACTTGATACATGCATCATAGTAGCCTCATAATAAATGGGTTTGCCTGTGAAAAATCACATCAATGGCACCAATCTTTGAGCCATACAGTAGTAAATACTAACCACAGCTGTGCATACATGTGCTAGTTTAGATCATTATGGACAACTCACTTAAAGGGGTCATATGATGCTTTTTTAAAGATCATTATTTTGTGTATTTGGTGTAACAGAATATGTTGACATGCTTTAATGTTCAAAAAACATTATTTTTCAAATACGGTACATTATTGTAGGTCCTCTATGCCCTGCCTCTCTCAAACGCTTTGTTTTCTACAAAGTCCCTCCTTCCGACAAACGCAGTCTGCTCTGATTGGCCAGCTAACCCAGTGCATTGTGATTGGCCGAACACCACAAGCACGCATCGGAAATGTAACGCCCTTTACCATAATCGCGAGCGTCAGCTTTCAAAGTAAATATCAAGACAGTTAATAATGTCGGGGCGTGTCAGAGTCTTAACTTTGATAAAGAATATCTCTTTGGTTTTGAGACTTTAGTCTTTGCAACTTCAGGGATCTTATCTATGCACAATCAGCTTGTAACACTCCAAAGAGAAAGAAAAACTTGAAATCGCATCATATGACCCCTTTAAAGGGATATTGTCAGTTCAGTAATGTTAATATATAAAGATATTGTTGGATATCAGTTGGATATCAAATGTTAAATTCAGTTGACAGCATTCAGTTGAATTTCGACTTCATTTTAAACAAAACTCTGGGTTACAATGAGGCACTTAAAATGAGGAAATGAATTGGGCTAATCTGTAAACGTTAAAATACTAAGGATTTCTATAGTATAGCCACAGGACATAAACAATATGCACGTTCACATGAATTGAGTGTAGACATTTTTTTCCCGGTAATCAACATTATGCCACAAATGCTGTTAATTGAACTGTTAACTACTCAACCAGGAATATTTCTTTAATTCTACCAATGAATTACGTTAGTCATTACTTGATTTAATTAGATAAAAGGCAGGAATTGCTTAGTCATACTGCTTCTTGCATTGTTTGAAAAAAAAAAAAGAGAGGTTCAACATGAGTTTTTGTTCACATTGAGAACATTGCGAGAACAAGTGACATTTTGTTTAAGAATGGTTTTTATAGCATTTGACAAGTGTGACATTTCAAGTAATTTACCATTCTAAGCTGTAGTCTCTTTCTCTCTCTCTCTCCCCTCATTACAGTGATCTTTGCATCCAGGTTGAGGGAAAAAATAGAATGTTAAACAAATCGAACTCATTTACAAGGCCTAAGCTGTTTCCTAGGTAAAATCATGTCTGCTGGCATCCCGTAGCTAAAAATTCAAAGACATTCAGTATCACAGAATTCATTTGTCAAGAGATTTCACACCAAACGATTTAAGTGCCATGAAGAATCAACATCAACAAACACAATGACGGCTAAAGCATGATGTGTAATGTGTAACCTTGAGCAAAAACACACAGCAACCCACAACGCATGACAAGAAGCCTTATACAAAGTCTTTGAAATAAGCACACGCCACAGAGGACATTAATCCTTTAAAGTGAGGCATTACACACTTGCCACACACAATATGCCTCTACACCTCATGTAATGAATGGCTCTTTGCTACAATGGATCAAAGCGCAGACCACTGCGCTATTGTGGATGGCCACAATTGAGAATATTCATTTGTCTATGTGCTTGTCAGAGCTGAGGGGAGTCTCTGTGTCTGAATACATCAGACTGGCACATTGTTTGGCCCAGCACTCAGTGTGAACAATGCCTCCATCTGGACCAACGACTCAGGATGTGCCAAAGCCAGAGCACTCAATTGATTTTCTCCCATTCGGGGACCGGGGGTCACATTTAACAAGCTTTCAAGGGTTGACTGAGATAGAAGGTGTTTGTGTGTACGTGTGTTGCCTGGCAAATGTGTCGAGAACAAGACCTAGAAACCGTAATGATGTCTTTGGTGCACTTCTGGTCAAGGTTTGGAAATGAACCTTCTCATTAGTCCGAGACCAGGCTTACTAGCCCAAGACCTGAGTGTAGGATTGGTGTAGACCAGTCATCATCAGCTAGAGCACTGGTCTGAAAAGGAACGTTTACCCAAAAAGGAATATTTTGTCATATTTACTCACCCTCATGCTCTTCTAAACCTGTATGACTTTCTTTCTTCTGGAGAACACAAAAGAGGAGATTTTGAAAAATGGTTTTGGTCCATACAGTAAAAGTCAATGGGGTCCAAAACAACAGTGGATCTCTTTTTTCGAAATGGACAAAATATCTTCTTTTGTGTTACACAGTAGGACGTTATACAGGTTTGGAACAACACAAGGGTGTTTAAATTGTCATTGAATTGGCCAAAATTATTGGTACCATTTGCTTGCACTAAATAGTACGAGACAGGATCCAGTACCCTTGCCTCAAAACCAAATACTGATCCAAACTGGATATAAAAGCAGGGATATAATGCTTCAATGCCAGACTTTGACAAGCTGTAGCACGACACAAGCCCAGTCGTCTTGTTTGACATGGCGAATGCCAATGAAAGGGTGCCCAAATTATGTTATAGTCCTTCTTACAAAACAATAAAATCGACAAAATGGAATACTATGTGGAAATGTGGAATACTAAAACATGGTTGTTCTTCACTGCCAGAAATAATGCAAAAAGTGTACTTTTAGCTTGTCTTTGGGCAGTACCCACAAAGGTACACCTTTGCAACTTGTCTACCCTTACAGTGTGCATATTAGTACTTTAAGAGGTAGGTAAAGCACAAGGATGTTCCCTCAAAGGTACTGCCCCAGTCATAAGCTAAAGCAGACGTGTCCACTTCTACTCCTACATGGCCAGCTTCTTGAAGAGTTTAGCTCCAATCCTAATTAAACCACCTGAAGCTAATCAAGGTCTTCAGTACTGCTAAAAACTCCCAGGCAGGCATGGTCGAGCTCCCAGGAGCAAAACTGTATAGCCCTGATCTCAAGGCACAATTCCTTTAATTTAAGTAAATGTAATTTGCTGCCAGTGAGATCCGAAGGCATATAGCTTGTATGACTTGATTAAAGGACTAGATTTTGCAAGAACCATTGCCCCGTTGATTTTAAGAGCAAGTTTGGGTTAGGCATAGGGTTTGACCTGTGATTACTTGATAAGAATCTTGTCTCAAGACCAAGGATATTGAACCAGGAGCATTCCTACTTGGCTTAATCATATCACACGAACACCTGAATTACTATCCTGAGACCTGGAATTCTGTGGATGATCTATCCTTAACCTCTTAAGTAGAGCCAAGGATACATTCAGTCCTCCCCCAGATCCCCATCTTTTCAATCCGTAACAATAGCTTTCAGCTGCAGCCGTATGTATGCAAGCTGCATCTGACTGGGCTTTAGGAGATAAGCTCTCCGGAATGAGGTCTTTATTTGGGCCAGCTGCCCACAAGGGTGGGAGGAGAGTTCAAAGGTCAGATGTCAGTAAATTAACAGATGGTATAAGTTGCCAGTCCTCACCGTAATGAAATCCAGATGACATGTCGCTCAAGTGCCGGTAACACGATAATGACGGCAGCTCTCGCAAACGCTGTTGATTTTATCCACCCTTCGGTGCACATCTGGGCCCCCTTTTCACTGCTCTGCTTTTGTCTGAACTTGCGGCTGAGAAATGCCTCTCTTTGTAAGGCCTAATTATTCCATGACTAGTAAGAGCCTAATTACCAGAGGAATTAGCGTGGCGCTCATTGTGAGGAAGACGTCGTAGGGCTTTAGAGGTATTGACACGGTAGATGAGATCTCCCTTTCAGCCGTTTAAATTTTGACCGATCTCTGGTTACAGTCTAGCTGACACACCTGTCAAAATGGCTTTCCCTCCAAGAGTGAGTGTGCGCACACCTGTTTTGTGGAATGTCTGAGCGAGATTAATGTGTCCGTCTCGGACAATGTGATACGAGGCACTCGAGACGCACATGTGGACATGCCTGTATGTGTGTCAGAGCAGTGTGTGGGAACAATCGGTACAAGTAGCCAATGCAGAAACCACTAGCATTGGATGCCATCCGTTTTAGGATCATGAGTTTTTGGGTTTGGTCGAGATTGGTGTGGTTTGAGTGTGAAATTATTCCTGGCTTCGCTCTGATCGCAGGTGTCTTTATCAGTGAGCGCATCTGAGAGATTATCATGTGCTGCCAAATATGCACACATGCACAATATTGAGGCATAACCTACATTTTGATAGACATCTTGAAGCACACCAAAATGTTATTGCATTTAAAAAAATGCATCAAAAATGTGCTTGCAAACAATCCTTAATCTCCCCCATTTTATCTCACCATCTTCTATAACGAAGTTGGAGGGACAAGGACTGATCTGAACCACCTTCTCCGCTCGTCACACCAGTAATCATTCTCCGCCGTTTCATTTGGCAGTGTAATGAAAGCAATCCCAGAACGCTTCGCTTCGGCAGAACAGAGATAATGAGGAAGCACACACACATGAACACACAGACATCGCCGCTTGATTTAGGAAGATGGTCTTCTGTGGGCCACAATGGGAAAAGCAAAATGTTCACACTCATGCTTAACATTCAGTCTTTGTAATCTTTTCGTGCATGGCACATGCTCCCAGGATTAAAAAAAAAAGTGTGTAGTAACCATTAACGCATCTCTCTGTCAATCTAAACGCCATCTTCTTTGTCTCTTGATAATAAACAATGTGAAGCTATTAAAGTAATATGCATGGCAAGCTACAGCAATTAAATTGACTGCTGGTGCTTGCTACAATATCAGTGTATATAGCTCATACTAAGCTTTAAGTATTTGCGTAATCTGTGGTTACTACCTGCCAGTTACTTTAAGTGATCACATGTTTGATTTTCTAATATTATGGAGACTATGGGGTGGACTGTTTTGGATTAGGCCAGTATGGAACAACCCAACAACCACCCAGAACACCCTAGCAACCACCTAAACTCCCTAACAAGCACCCAACTATCCAGAATTTCTTCAAAACCACCCAGAACACACTAACACCTACTCAGAACATCGCCACAACCACCTAGGACTCCATAGCAACCACCCAACTACCTAGAACACTCTAGTGGGCACTAAGAGCACCCTAGCAACTGCCTAGAACATCCTATCATCCACTCAGAACATCTTAGCAACCATTTAGAACACCCTAACAACAAGATGGTTTTTCAATGACAAAAGTAAAAATAAATTAAATAGAAATATATAATATATAATATATATATATATCTGAAATTGTCAGAAACTGACATGAAATGCAGTTTGAAGCATCAGTTGTTAACAACTAGCATTCTCTTTAGAAAGTTTATTATATAACATATAAATTGGTTTAAAACAGCAGCTACAGAAACACATTTTCAGCACTGTACTGTACCGGTGACCTAATATACCAATTACATCACATCATTGACTTTATCAGTTAGAATCAGCTACTTTCCTCAACATAAGTTGCCAACATGCACTGATCTATGACCAGGCACAGTGACAAAGTCTAACAAAGACAATGTAGGAATTAAAAGGGCATTCTGAGGACTACTGTCTTGAATGGACCAAACATTTGTGTGTGGTCTCAAGGGCCTTACTAGAACCAAAAGGCTTTTCAAACTTTAAAGAGCAGATAGTCATAAATGGCCGTGTGGAAATGTCTTTTACAGCAGCTATAAAAATACAGAGGCCCGTCTGCTCATCCTAAGAGGCTGCTAATCGATCAATAAACATTAGCGGTGGCTATTCCACCGTCCCAGCAGAGAATAACACAGGCAGATGACTCTACAAGCAACAGGTCTTGCTGCCACCAGTTTAGTACGGTTCACAGAAGGGTCATTCGGTGAGATGGAAAAGTGTTAACAAGAATGTGAAATAGCATGTGAACAGATCTAACTGTAATTTGATCTGACATGTCCGTTTTAGAAGTTGATGTCCTTAACCAGATGCTGTTGTACAATCAAAAACATAAGGGACCAAAAAGTTTGTGTACGTTGTTGCTGATTTAGTGCAACGTTCATCCAAGAACTCTTCATTCCCAAAGGCATATCCCTTGGCTGTATGTTTCCGCCCATAGCAATGAGGACTGCAGTGCTCTGACCAATCAGAGAGTCTGAACTAGCACAGGGAAGAGCAAGGACAAGTGTTCGGCTCCTTTGATGGGGAGTTTGTGTGTGGTGTAATAGTGGATCACTTCAGGGATGGTGTCGAATGGAGGGCTGTTCTGGCCCAGGATATAGCGGCCGTCTTTGGACTGGCTGAACTTCATGTGCATGAATCCCTGGCAGCTCCTGAAAAAGAACATGCAAAACTGCCATTAATCTTCAGGAATGTTGGGCAACAAAATAAGCTTGAAAATGCTTCCCTCAAAACAAAACAACAAACTTTAATCTCTTCTGTAAAACTCACAAATTAATTATGCCTGAAAATCAAATACATGCTTTCCCCAAAAATAAAATGTAAAAATAACTGTACTCCGTTATATGAAATGAAAATAAAAATAAATAAAATTAAAATAAACACTTTGTTCTATGTGATAAACCTGGAACTTTAAAGGGGTCATATTATGCGATTTAAATTGTTCCTTTCACTTTGAAGTGTTACAAGCTCTTGGTGCATAAAGAACATCTGTAAAGTTGCAAAGACTAAAGTCTCAAATTTAGTAAATAAAATTATTTTTTTGTTAATAAAAAAAGACATTCTTTATAAAAGTTAAGAGTCAACCACGCCTACCTAAAACGCCTCGTTCTAACACGCCCCCACATATCTACATCACTATGTGAGTCCAGCCTGGGGTTGTCACATGTGGTTGCTGCAAACCCGCCGGCCGCGCCGTTCTCAAGCCCGCCGTGTGTGACGCTGTGCGTTTCGTTGTGAAAGCGAAACTACTTTGTTTGGTCTTCCAAAAGAGGACACGACTAGAAATCAGTGGTTAAGTTGTATTTACAACACTGTTCCAGAACAGTTCAACCCAAATATTCAGATGTGTGCAGCGCATTTTATGGAGGATGAGGACTGTATCCTGAACCAGTAGCCTAACAATGCGTCTGTGGCACAAAGGCTGTTTCCATAAAGTGGGGCAGTTATGTTCTTTTTAGCAACATCATATGACCCCTTTAACCTGTTCTATAAAATGCACAAATTAAATGTCTCAAAACCAAATAAATGCTTTCCCAAAATAAAATAAATAAAAAATTACTTTGCTTTGTTCTATGACATGCAACAACAATCAGCGTGAACAATCAAATAAATGCTTCCACAAAATCTAATAATATTAAATGTAAAAATACTTTGTTCTATGAAATATATAATAAACCTGCTTTCCCCCAAATGAATAAAATGAAAATACTTTGCTTTGTTCTATGAAAAACAAACAACAACAACAACAACAACAACAACAACAACAACAACAACAACAACAACAACAACAACAACAACAACAACAACAACAACAACAACAACAACAACAACAACAACAACCAAGTATTATCATAAAAATAAATCAGGGTAATACAATAGTTCTTTTTTTTTTTTTTTAACTACTGATACCATGCCGTTATTGTGGAATCTTTTTTTAAGTAATTTACAGGACCATTGTATATAAATATGACAAGGCAATCAAACAGCACCTTTGTATTATACCATCATTGAACTAGAGTACTGGCATGCTACTCTTTTTTGTTTAAAAACATTTTAATTTTTTTTTTACATTTTCTTAGGAAATAAAGATCTGTAATAAAGAAGCCAACAAACTAACCACAGATACATTCCAATTATTTTATCATGACTTGACAGCTTTAATAAAACCTGATCCCTGGGTGGGGTTGTGAATCTGGTATTTGGGTCAGCTGTGAACAAAAGATTACTAGCGATAAATAGGACAATCTGAGTGATGATGTAAAAGAATATCATAATTTCATCATGGCCTGGTGCGAATATTATTCTCGACATCCCCTTTAAGACGGCTCAGTCCAGAAGGCTGGATTTTTATGTATAGAAACAGGAAGTAATTTGTTAATTTGAAGCTGTCATACTGTACTATACCATTCACCGTAATAAGTGTGAATGAAAACACATGGAGCCTGAGAGCATCTTTCTCGCTACTTTCAAAATCAAGCGAATGTTAAAGCCGCGCATTAAAATTCAAGACTTAACGTGTTCAAGGAGCATGTCATCTCCAACAAGGTATTATCTGCCAGGTACGTAACGAACAGAGTCACTTATAGAAAAATCTCGGCTCAAAATAAAGCCTGTGAATCTCACTGGCGGCTCGTTCAAAGCTCTCGACGTTGAGCCGCTGTCACTTTGATTTGGTTCAGACTTCTGAGGCTGTAGGCGTCCCACATTATGACATCCGACAGCGTCGTTCATTCATTCCCACTGTTGTCGTATGAATGCGGTTTGAATCAGGCTTGTAAAAATCAGATTTCATGTGAACAAAGTCTCAGCATGTTGCTGAACATGTTCTGGAGTGTTCTTGCCTGTGACTTATAAAGTGTGCTTGCAATACTAGGCGTGTGTGATTACTGAGTGCGTTCAGGTGTGCGAAAGGCCTCCCGCTTGTGCCTGCGGCTTTCTGCAGGTCATTCATATTAATTAACGCCGCCAGGAGAAGCTTTGTGAACTGAAGAGCTGTTCACCTGCCTGATTACTGCTCGGGAAGAATAAAAGAAAAAGAAGAAAGGGGAGCGGGATCAGGGGTTCTGGATCAAGACGGTAATTAGAACTGTGAGATTTGACCAGATAAGCACAATCGCTCGAGCTGATAACCTATCGAAAAGCACATCAGTGTGCAAATGAGACAGGGCCGTTTTGTCCAAGGAGGCAAGAAAGAAAATTTAATAAAAAACACAATAATGAGAAAATATTCAGTATGATAACAGTAAAACAATAGTACAGCAAATATGTTGAAATATGAGATCAAACAGTGAGATCAAATAGATAATTATTAATACCGTTTAACATTTATAATATGAACACATTTTATTTTATTATATTATATTGTATTATATAAAAATTGAGTAACTTAATGTAGGATATACATCTATAAAATACACAAAATTAAATATATATAATAAAATAATTGTTAAAATAGAAAAGGATATAAATGTAAGATATAAATCTATCTAAAATCTATCTAAAATGCACAATGTAATTACATTTAATTACAATTAATATAATAAAACATTATATTATATTATTATATAAAATGTTATTATATTTATTATATAAAATAAAGGAAATAGATGTAAGATATGCATACATATAAAATGCACAATATAATTAAAAACATATTACATTATATTGTATTATTATTATATTATATTATATTATATTAAGCAATATTTTCTTTTCTTTGAAAAGATTAACTCTACTGAGGGGTGGAAAAAAATTGTAGGTCAGAATGAAGAACAAAGACAACTAAGATACAGACAACTAGACACAAATGAAGCAAAACACAAGGCAATTAGCTGAAATGGGGTAATGGGGATGAGATTTGCTCACTTCATTTAATGGTAATGGAGGGAATGGAGAAATAAAATGTTGCTACGGTGGATGGTGGAAGAGGTGCAGTGCTGTACCTCAGAGAGAGAGAGTAGTCCAAGCGACTGGTCTCGCTGTTTCGTACCAAATAACTGCACTCCTTACAGAGGGTCAGCAGAGACTCGGCCTCTGAGCGCGAGAGAGCACCGTGATACCATCTGAAAGACAGCATGCATGCAATGCATGCAAACAGCAAATCATAACAAAAGTCATTAACCCATAAGTGTTAAAGGTACAGTAACAAATAGAGCAAATAGAGCTCTAAGGATCAAAGAGGATAGAAAATGTTCCTAAAAAACTAAATCAACCGTTTAATCATACCAAATCATACTTCAAATGTGTTGAATATGACACCTGTAAATATTTTGTAAGTGAACGTGTGTTTGTGACTGTCGTGGCATGTTCCCCTGTGAGACCCCAGCTGCCGTCTGATGTGTCTGGGGAATTTTGTTTCCTGAACAGCTGACTAATTTGCAGCAATATTTTGGACGCACTTGACTGCGCTTTCTAATGGCTTAACCATGCACACCGCCCCCATAAATCATATTCTCATAGCACTAAAATAATAACACACTAGGTTGGCGTTCCCAAAGGTACGAGACGTCGCAATGAGAGCATCAAGTGCCTTGAAATTTTCAAAAATGTAATTTCTGTCACCATTAACTCCCCCTCATGTCGTTCCAAACCTGTATGACTTTTTCTTTTGTCTGTGAAACACAAAAGAAAAAAAATATCTTGATGTTTTGGACCCCAATGACTTTAACTGTACAGTTGCAACATTCTTCAAAATATCTTCTTTTGCGTTCCACAAAAAGAAAGTACACTCAGATTTGGCACAACATGAGGGTGAGTAACTGATGACAGAATTTCAATGTTGAGGCCACAAGATGCATTATGGGATAGCATTCTAATTGCGGTATTTTTAGCTTAGTAGTCTCTGTTCCTCTCAATTTTTTCTTCAAACCTCTAATGGTTTGTGGTGCGTGTTGGACGTACACTTGTTTCTCCAGGGGCAGGGTGGGATCCACTCTCTCTCCGATCATGGAATGAGGATCGTTGGGCTTGCGTAGCTTCATACTGCCTGTGGTTGGCAGAGGCCTGGAACACCTCAGACGCTCTGTGGGAGAACAGGAACGGTCCCACTCAGCACCCTCAAACTGCACTGCATGGGCACAGTGAGAGAGAAAAAGACTTAATTCAATGTCAAACAGCAGTAGAAAAGTGACTGAAAAAGTTGTTTGAAATTTTTTTTTTTAGGTTTTATAACATTGTGTAATAACTAGGAATGACATGACAAAACAATAAAACTCGATCATGATCATCTCAGATTTAGGGTTCACATGATGAATAGTTTGTGGCATAATGTGAATAAAGCGGACAATTGGTTTCTATCTTGTTGCACGGGGTTGAGCCACCTATTGTGAAATGTCATCGGTCGAAAATCCTGTTTCATAAATCTGATATTAAACACCAGATATGTTTGTCACATCATGCCTGGTTAGGACAGTTAACACAGCAGGAGGAGTCTAAACCAGAACAGCAAAGAGTAACAAAACAGGAGGGTTGTAGGAAATTAAGGTGGCACATTTATAACACAAACGTACTAGGGTTCAGAGCCAAATAACATAATGTGAAAAACCTGATCCAGAGGAGGGGTGAAATCAAACTCAAGTATCAAACCGAGTGTGAAAACTAGGGATGCATAAGTTTTCAGCACCTTATCAGTTATCAACTGATATTTTTAAATGTATTGGTAGATTTATCGGTAGATAGGTATTTATTTCTGCATGCTCATTTCTCACATTTTTACATTATCGTTGCCACACCTAATTAAACTGTGCTGTCAAGTGTGGACACTAGGGATGCACAATTTATCTGTACCTAATTGGTTATCTGCCAGTATTTTTTTATTTATCGGTAGGGTGGATATTTAATTCTACATACTCATTTCTTGTGTTTTTACATTTAGCAGGGATGCACTATATTATTAGAACGTTATCGGAATCGATATGAAAAATTATGCTGATATGCCTTGCCGGTAAGACGAATAACATGTGCTCAAAGTGTGC